AATTTTGTGGTTTTATTAACACAAACACAATGTGCACACAATCTGTGTACTCGTTTTCTGCCCTGCGCAGCCTGGCATTGGGCTGGGACTGAGGGCCAGGGCTGCGTTCTCTGGAGAAGCCGGAGCAGTCTCAGCAGCTCTCCAGCTCCTGGAGCTGCGGCCCAGGAACCTCCGGAAGCCACGGGGCAACATGTGCTTCCTGCTCTTGTCGCTCCCATAGTGAACGCTGGGCATCGAGATCTGGCCCTCGAATCTTCTGTGCACCGTGGCCAGTGCCTCTGGGTTTCCAGCAGTGAGGCTTAACTTTGACATGTCGGTATGACTGGTGCCGATGGACTTCTTGGTCCTCTTTTTGATGACCTTGGGTCTCACAAGGGTCTGAGGGCAGCCATCCTAATGGGGGTGTCATGGATCTCACTGTGGTTTTGTTGATGGTCTTAGGTTTCACAAGGGCGCTGAGTAGGAGATGGCTGCCACCTCCGAGGCAGCACAGAGGAAGAGCGACTCTCCACATTCGCTGTGCTCTCTGGGCCTCCCTTTCTCCCATGTCAGAGCAATAATCCCCTCCCTCCTGTGAGGAGAAAAGGCTGTCATTCTCCTTGCTTGTATGAGGCTTGGGGCTCGCTTAGTAAAGGCCTGATGTTGGCTATTGATGAAATGATTGACACAAAAAGAAGTGTCCAGGCATCTTCATCCCATGCTGCAGGGGCCCTTACAGAGCACTGACTGCTCACCTGCCTGTCCCCAGACCCAGTGCCCAGCAGGGACTGGCCCCATTCCCCTGGTCTCCCAGGCTGGGTGCCTGAGGCCAAGTCCAGGATGGTTCCAGGAGTTGGATGGAGGGAAGGTGGGATGGGGAAGTCAGCAGGACTGGCAATTATGACTCACACTTATGACTCCCAGAAAAGCTGGAGGGAAAATGAAGTTGGACCCCAAATAATATTTAGTAACAACACCACCACCATCAGTAATAACCATTTATTGAGCACTTACAATACCAGCACCCCAATTAACACGATGTGCATTATCTCTTTAATCCTTTAAACAACTGTGTGAAGTGACTGCTGTTATTCCCTTTTATGGAAGAGGAAACAGAGGCTCAGAGATCTTAATTAAATCTCTTGCCCAAGGCAACTCCCAGGTGGATCCAGAACTCAAACCCTCGCTCTTAAGAGGTCCCTGTGGATGTCAGAGCCAAGTGACTGGCCCAGGAAATGGGGAGGCCAAGGGGCATGAAGCCACCCTTCTTCTCATTTCCCTGACTGGCCCTTTAGGGGCTGAGGCCCTGCTGCCTGTCTCGGGGGAAGCTGGAGGGCATCACAGAGCCCCTCCAGGGCCTGGGCTCCCTGGGCAACGCCCCTCCACGGCAGATCTTCTGGCTGTGACTTCCACAGATGCTGGGGCCATAAATTCAGGGGCGCTCACTCAGTACCTCTCCCCCATGGCCAGGCTCTGGGGTTTTGCACACAGAAGCTAATCCCATTTTCCTCCAGTGTCCCACCGTGCCTGTAGATCACGTGTCAAACACAAGGCCCGAGGGCCAAATCCGTCCCGCCAGGCCTTGCAATGTGGCCCGCACCGTGCTGTCATCACTGCACTCCGCTGCGTTTCCATCACAATGACAGTTTATGACTGTTCAGTAAACCATTCGGCCCGCGATTTAGGCTGGATTTTAGATTTTGGCCCCTTCTCTGATTGAGTTCGACACCCCTACTGTAGATGGTGCTGGGTACCAGCCTCTTGCCCTTCTGCCCCTAATTCCTGACCCCCCTAAACCTGCAGCAGCCCCTTGGGGGTCACTTTGTCAGGACCAGGTAACAACAAATTTGCTCTCCTATTTCCTGGGGCTAGTCCTTTGTTGCCAGCTGAAATTGTAATCTCCTCAAGGTCATTCCCCTCCCACCCGCGCCCCTTCCCCAGCCCATGTTGCCCGTGTGTGTGGCATGGGGCAGCCCAGTGCAGAGAATGGGCGTTACCCAGGTTTGAATCCACTGCCTCACTTGCAGCTGTGTTAATTTGGGCAAGTGACCTGGCTTCTTTAAGCCTGGGGTCCCACCAGGGAAAGGGGGTAACGAAAACCCTTCTTTATAGGGTTATTGTGCAGGTAAAGGGCTCGTCGATGAGGACTGTACTCTTCGCACAGGACCCCGGACCCCAAACCGGCTCAATCAATGACAGCATTTGCCACTGAAGACAGGACTTCCTCCCTAGAATAGCCTTCCGTGATCACCCTGTTTAAAGCAGGACTCTCATTTCTTCTTACGGCACTTTTCCTTCAAAAGCATTCAGCCCCGTTTGTAATTATACACGTTTGTTTACTTGTCGCTGAGAGCAGGGACTGCGTCTGTTTTCCACTGCTCAACCGTCAGCACCACCGAGGGCAGAACGCAGTAAATGCTGGCTGAATGAAGGCCACTCCCTCCCAGGTCTCCTTCAGCCAGGGCAGGAGCAGCGCTTTCCGCCTTTTCTCCGAGGATTTGGTTTTCAGAGGGCTGTATATCCCTCAGCCCCTCCTCCAGAGGTGATCTGGTAGCTGGTGCAGCTGCAAAGGGCTGGATACCCTCTGCTGTACCAGCCACGCAACAGCTGGGTCAGAACAGCTAGTGGAGCCGGAGGCTGGGTCTAATACTCACCATGTTGGCCCTGGTCCTTCATGAATGGTGGGGTCATTGTGGGTTGCTTCTAACCTCCCACCCACCTGCAACTGTTCGGCTTGTGGCCCCACGGACACTCTGAGTCTCCTCAGAGCCCCTTCTTTGGCCCCTCTCTCACCTGGAGCTGGGCCTGACTTTCAGAGGAAGGTTTTCTGCTTCCCACTTCCCTCCAGTCACACCTCCTACCAGGTCTCCTTTGCCTTCTGCCTTCCGCCGAGACCAGGGTGCCTTGGCCTTGGCAGATGTGTGAGGCTGGGGAAGGCACTCCGAGTCCAGATGTGATTGTGTTTATGTTTCCAGGGAGTGAGGGGGTCAGAGCTCTGGACTGGAGACTTGGGGGAGGGGTTGTCTAGCTCCACTCTCATACCCCAGCCTTCCCTCCCCCCACCTCCCTCCTTCAGTCCGTGTATCTGTCCCTCTCCCTTTTAGAACCCCCCACTCTAAATCCTACAGCAGCAAGCAGGACCCTTCCTCACACCTCATCTGAAGGCGAGAAGACCAGTGGCAAGGTCCCTGGCTTCCGAATCTAAAGACTATTGTCTCTGTGTGGCCTTGGCCCAATTACAACATGTGGTGGAGCCTCGGTGCCATCATCGGTATAACAGGGACAACACGGTGTTGACCTGGTTTGAGAATGTGTGCACAGGGCTCTGCAGCTATTAGCTCATGACTGAGCCCATGGATGTGCCTCATTCCCAGCTAGGGCTTGCCTGGGTCCAGCTCCAGGGCAGTGCCAATCCCCGTCTTAAGGTGATTCTAAAGCAGAATTACCATCCCTTCCTTCCTCCCCGCTGCAGCTACAAACATTCTATATCGCCATTAGACGAGACTACTCAAGGAAAGCAGAATTTCACAGGCAGTTTACAGGCGGGTCTTGTCCAGCAGTTTCCAAACGTGGGGAGAGGTGGAGGCAGCAGGGAGCCTCCCACAGGTTGGGAAGGAAGGGAAGTGAGAAGTGAGTTCTGTGTGATGGACTTTTTCCACGGCAAGCCACGCCCTGAGTGGGATTGGGGGACAGGGAGAAAGGAGGCCCCCCCCACTAGACCCTGGTAGACCCAGCACCCTCCTGGAATGCCCAGGGCAGGGCTCCAAGGTGGGGACACCGGGCCCACAGGAGAAAATGCAACCCTAGAACTAAAGAGGCTCTCAGCGGTCCCATCCCAGCGCCCTGGGCAGACAAGGACCCCGAAAACCCGGAGAGCCTGCAGAGTCTTGCGCTGGGTGTTGAGGGGGGCAGGGAGGGAGCTCCGGTTCGGGCAGCCCGAGCTCGCACCGCCTAGGCTGGCGGCCCAGATGGTGAGCGCCCCAAGCAGAGATCGGGAGCCCAGAGTGCTGGCAGAGCCCTCGCAGGAGCCGGCAGAAAGGTCGGGGACGGTGGTGGGGAAGTGGGGGAACGGGCCCTGGCGGGGTCTGCCTCTGCTCTTCCCTCCTACCCTCCGGGCCCTTGGGGGCCAAGTTCCCTTCCTACCCGCCTGCCTCCCTCCCTCCTCAGCCGAATGAAGCAGTCGGGGCTCCGCAGCGGTTAGCACGCTCGTACTATGGTTTTAATAGACGTACATGGACAAGTCGATATAGACAGATTTATAATTCTATACAGTCAGTCCGACATACACAGGGACGCTGTAAACAGGGGCGCGGGCCGGAGAGCGGGTGTGCAAAGTGGGCGCGGCGAGAGGCTGCGGCCAGGCCCGGAGCTCCCGGCTCGGCTCGCTTCTTCTTGCACCGACCGCAGCTCTGCGCCGGGGCCAGGGGGTCGCCTCCCAGCCCGGCGCGGAGCAGAGGACCTGGGGCTGCCTGCGGGGAGGCCAGGGCGCTCAGAGACGAGCCCTCCCCCACCCCCCATCCCCGAGCCGCATCCCCTCCTCCAATCCCCGCGCCGCATCCGCGGCTCCGTAGCCTTTAAATAGTTTCCCGGGCGCCAGGCCGCCGAGGGCTCCGGGGCGCACCGGGGCCGGCCGTGTGTGTGTTCGGCTCCTCGGCGAGTCCCGGTTCCGGGCCGGACACCGTCACCCCCGGCCCAACGCCCACTCCCACTCGGATCCGGATGGAGCCAAGGCGCGCTTGGCCGGGCCCAGCTCAGAGGGGGCGTCTCGGTTCGTTGGGGCCGAGGCCAGGCTCCCGTGCGGCCAGTTCCCGGGCGGGCGCGGGGCGGCTGCGCTGCCGGGCCGGACACGGGCCCCGCGGGCGTCCCTCCTGGTGCCACCGGCCTGGCCGCCGCCGCTGGGGCCCGAGAGCGCGCACGCACCACCCGCGGCCTCCCCCGGGGGAAATTGCAACTCATCCGTTTTTTTTTTCTCCTTTTTTTTTCCGCGGCACTTGGCTCCGACGTCTTTTGGTTTTGTCTGGTTTGGGAGGGCAGAGTGGGGTCCGGAAAAGCAAACACAAAACCAGCCCGGAGGGGGGCAGGCGGGGGAGGAGGGGCTGCGCGGGCGGCACGAGGCCGGGCGCCGGGAGCGGGGCCGGCGCGCGCCCTCCGCCCCCCGCCCAGCGCCGCGCGGCCCCGCGGGCGGCCGGCCGGCCGGGCGGTCAGCTGTTGTACTGGCAGGCGTTGAGGCCGGAGGCCGGGCCCTGCAGGCCGCCGTAGCCGAACGACGAGTGCTGCTTGGACTTGAGCCGCAGGCTGGCCAGGCTGGAGTTGCACGTGTCCCGGTAGACGCTGTAGGGCGAGGCGGGCGCGCCGTACGGGCAGGCGCCGGGGGACATGGCCGAGTTGAGCGAGGAGCCGGTGAGGTTGTTGATGTTGTTGAGGCCGGAGTTGGGCATGCCGGGCACGGCGCCCGGGCCCATGCCCGACGGCATGGTCATGGAGGAGATGGAGCTGGGCGCCGAGAACATGGACTGCGACGACAGCGGGCTCATGGAGTTGAAGAAGGTGAAGCTCTTGGTGGAGAGCGGCGCCGGCGCCAGGCTCTTGGCCGCCCAGTTGTTGTAGGAGTAGCCGGCGGCGTACACGTCCTCGTAGGGCTGCACCAGGCCGCTGAACTGCGGCACGTAGCCGCCCTTGCACAGGTCCAGCTGCTGGTTCCGCTCGCGCTTCCGCCACTTGGCCCGCCGGTTCTTGAACCAGACCTGCAGGGAGGGGGCGGACAGGGTCAGCGCTGCGGGCTGCCGAAGGCCGGACCACCCCCTCCCTCCGCGCCCTCGCCCAGCCGCCTTCTTTCTCTCCCAATACCGCTTCTTTCCTTCCCGATCTCCTGCCTTCTCTCCATAATGGTTGCTTTCCTGTCCCCAGGAAAAATGAGTCTTTTCCTTTTTTTTTTTTCATCTTTATCCTCTTTCCCAAATTAAATCCGTTTTCTCCTTCTAATACACAGATCGTGTTTTAACAAATATTCGTTTTCCCCCCTTTCCTTTCTCAACCAGGCTACCGTCTGATTTCTTCCCCAAAAGGTCCCTGCCTGTCTCCTAGACAGCCCATCATTTTTTCTTCTCCCTTGAATACAAAAAGTATTCTTCTTCCCTGGAACGGAATTATTCCTCCTCCCCCCATTGTTCAATCTGTCTTTTATTCCTCACAGAGTTCGTTTCCATCTTTTTTGGCAATATTTGACACACTCATTTGTCCCAAACGTTTATTTTCGTTTGGTCCACACTACTCTCTGAACAACTCTCTTCTCTCTTTCAAACTCTCGTTGTCCCCCATTTTGATGCTTTTGATTCCTCCAAATAATTTTTTTTCCTTTCCAAATATCTGACCTTCACTGTTTCTCTCAACAGTTGATTATTTTCTCAAATACTCCATCTTTTGCGTCTCCCTTAAATATTTAATTTCTTCTCTGCCGCCTAAGCATATGCCAAATACGTTTCTCTACAAATGTTTAATTTCCTTTCACTTCACGCTAGTTTCTCTACCCTCCTCTCCACTTTCTCCCACAGAAGTTAGTAAAAACCTATCCTTCTCCCCCGACTCCTGGTCCTTTCGGATCCTCACCCGTCTTCCCTCTGCCCTCCCAGCCCTGCCGCACTGAGCAGAGTTTCCCCAGCTACTTGCTAGCCCCTGTCTCTCAGCCTTCTCCGGCTCCAGCACTGACACGGCCTGATTCCACCCGCAGCCCGCCATAAACCCGGCAGGACCAGTGAGCTCAGGATCACTGAGTGCTGTCTTCACCCCCCTGTCCCACCGGGCCGGCCTTGGCTAGGGAGGAGTGGAAGCTGAGGTCAGAGCAGGAGTCCAGGTGGGACTTTGGTCCGGCTTGGGACGCGCTCCCAATATGATTAAATATTTGCGCACCGAAGAAGAAATGATTCTCGCGCTGCACTGGCAGGAAAGCCTCGCTTTTACTGGGAACAGAATGGTGAGGGCTCTGTAGGGTGGTCTGGTCCTGGTCAGAAACCTTATATCTCCAAAGGGACTCGACCTGATGGTCGGTCACTCATCCACCAGAGCTGCCCCCCCCCCCTCCGCCCAACCCCCTGACCCCAAGCCTACAGGAAAGGGAATCAGGGAAAGGACCCGGCTACTGACTGGCTGGATAGCTGGGGAGGAGTCAGGTGGCGAATTTCAGAAATTTTGGAGAAGCCGGCAAGGGAGACCGGAGTTGAGGCACCTTTGGGGCCTCTCGCGGGCTGCCAGGAAGGACCAGCCTTTCCCTTTCGTTTTCCGGGGAAGGCGCCGCTCTGAGGTCCCCGGCGGCGGCGGGGAACCCTCCGCGCTGTCTGGGCGGGACCCACCCGCGTGGGCCCTGGGGCCTCGGGGCGTGGAAGGTTCCCCGGGGCCACGTGTCTGGCCTGGGCTGCAGCAGAGCCCGAGGGTCAGGTAGGATGCGGGTCAGAGGGACTGAAGGACCGCACCGCCGAGGGTGCTGGGGCTGAAGGGCTTGGCGGAGGCCGGGCGGGCTGGGCTTGGGGTGGACTCCGCCGTGGGGGAGAGAGGGAGCAGGTCTGCGCGGCGGGAAAGGGAAGGTCTGGGCGCCGGCCTAAGCCTCCGAGGCCGCCCGCCGGCCGCCTGCGTGCGCCCCACTCACCCGCACGCGCGGCTCCGTGAGGTTGGTCCACACGGCGATCTCCTCGCGCATGCTCATGTCGGGGTAGCGGTTCCTCTGGAACGTGGCTTCCAGCTCCTGCAGCTGCTGGCTGGTGAAGTGCGTGCGCTGCCGCCGCTGCTTCTTCTTCTTGGCCGGGTCCTCCGCGCCGCCGCAGCCCGCGCCGCCCGCGCCGTCCTCCGGCCCCTTGGGTTCCCCGCCGCGCTCCTTCTCTGCAGCGGGCGGACCGGCGCCCGTCACCTCGGGCTCCTGCCCGTGGGTACCCCGTCCCGGCTCCACCGAACAACCCGCCGTGGGCGCCGGCGGCCCTCCCTCCCGCCGGGGGCCCTGGTGCCGCCCCATTTGGGCAGAGCCCGCCGGGCGCCTGGTGGTCGGTAGTCACCTCTGGTCTGGGTGCGCGGAGCAGAGGAGCCGAGCCAGGGGCCTGGGCTCCCGGCAGGGCAGGGCCTGCCCTCCTAGCCTGGCTGAGGCTCGAGCCCAGCTGCGAATGTTGGCGGCAATGGTACGACTTTCAAGAGTCAGTCTGAATTCGAGGGAGGCCTCTGCTGTTCTGAGCTAGGGTCAGATTTTTCTAGCCTGAAGCTAGCTGGTCCGTGGAGCCTGAGCGAGGTGGTCTGGCCTGCAGCCCTCCACCCTCTTCTCCCCGGGCTGCCTCTGGGCGGGCAGACACCGTCTTGCTCTGGGCCTCAGCTCCAGGCCTCAAGTCCCGAGGCCCAGCCGCAGCCCCAGCAGCCCAGGCTGACGGACTGTCTAGCTGACCTGGAGCTCTAGCCTCTCTCTCCCTTGTAGCTACAAAACACACGCAGTCATAGAAACACTGAAGCATAAAAAAAGAACTTCGAAGCAAAGCACAGAAGCCCCAAAAAAGTTCACAGCTCAAAGCCTACAAGCACAGAAAGGGCCAGAAACTCTTAAAAGTAGTCAGGTAGGCACACAGAGCAGATGCGGAGTAAGCAGCCACAAGCACACCCTCACTGAATGCAGCGCTGTGCCTGTCTGCACGCCCGGAGACACAGGCACTCACTTCTCTGGGGTTTAAAAAATCAATGTGCTGTGGTAGATAGCTTTTAACCCCTTCTCAGGAATGTCCTTCTGAGGTGATTTCTGAATCCCAGGGAAATACAACAGTATAGTTAGATAACTTAAAACCCCCCCAAAGAACACTCCTGTAAATAGATTTTTAAAAAACTGCCCGAGAAACGCGCCATTTTGGATTGACTTTTAAAAATCTCCCGAAGAATAGTGTTGCATGTAGATATTTTAAATTCCAGGGAAATATACCTATGACAGTACTTCTTTCTGTATCGAAAAATAGTTAACGTTTAAATTCATGCTCATCGATTTTGTTTTAAAAAGCAACCTATAACGACATATTTCTCTGGGTTTTAAAAATAAAAAAAACCAAGCAAGCAAAGGCCATGTTTAAAACTTTTGAAAACAAAAGTACAGTCCAGCGTTAAAGTCACTTAGGGATGCAAAACAGAAATAAATAGAGATTAAAAACGCGTGGAGAAGCTCTCCGCGGTGGATTAAAAAATGAACGAAGCGGAGGACCCCCCTGGCCCGGGAGCGGGGAGCCGGCCAACGCCGGCCCCGGTGGGCGCTGATTGCGGACCCAGGAGGTGGGCCAGGACCAGGACGGGGTCGCGGGCCGCCTGGGCCGGGAAGAAAGGCTGGAGCTGGGAGAGTGTGGCCTCGCGGAGACAGGGCCCAGCGGAGTGGAAGCCCGGCCCGCGGCCAAGCGGGCTCCCTGCTCCCCTGGTTCGCGCTGCCGGGGACCCCAAGCTTAGGGGGTCTTGCCTGGAGTCCCTGGGACCGCTCTCCCTCGCTATCCTCCGTCTGTTTTCCTTTTCCTTGAGGTTGTCTCCACCTCGATGACCCCGTTTGCTTTTCTGACTTTCATCGCCCCCCTTCTCTTTGGGATCTCCTCTTCAATCTGTCACCCACTGCCGGTGTGTCTGTCCCCTTCTCTGTCTCTCTGGATACTTTTCTCTCATCACCTTTTTCGATAGATCTGCTCTTTTCATTTGGTTGATTGGCCTCATGGCACTCAATTGCGAAAACCTAACTCTCCCCCGTTCTATTCACTCCTTAGCAAGAGGGGCAGCCCGCTCCTCGGGGGGGTTGTGGGTTCGTGGGTCTGCGGGTCTCGGGGCGCGTGGGGACCCCGTGGAAACGCCCCGGGAGAGCACCAGGTGTCCCTCCACAAAGCGTGCACATTTCCGCGCTCACGGACGGATGGGGAACGGGAAAGGGGCAGGTCCCACGCGGGGCGCGGCGGCCAGGCCCTGCTCCTGGCTCCCGGCTCGGTGCGCTTACCTGGCAGCTCCGTGTCCGACGACTCGCTGGCCGAGTTCTCGAGCGGCTCCCGCGGGTCGGCGGCGCGGGCCAAGTGGAAGGCGGGCCCCATGTCGTGCGGCGGCGGCGGCGGCGGCCGGAGCCCCTCGGGCAGGCGCTCCAGGCTCATGCCCCCCTTGAAGGCGTCCATGGAGGCGGGGACCGTGGCGGACGCTCCAGGGGCCGGGGCTAGGCGCGCCCGGCCGTCCTGGCTGCGACCTGCGGGGACAAGAGCGCGGAGCCTAAGCGGCCGCCCCCCGGGGCCGCCCGCGCCCGCAGCGCCGCCGCGCCTGCCCCATGGGCCGCCCGGGGCTGCGGGGCCGGGCGGGCGGCGGCAGCAGCAGCGGCTTCTCGCGACCGGGCGCCCGGCTCCGCGCTCCGCTCCCGCCGCTCGGGCCCCAGCCGCCCGCCCGGCCCCGGCTACAGGGCTCCCGGTCCCGGGCCGGTTTCTAAGGCTCCGGACGGCGCCGGCAGAATCTGTCTTAAAGCGACAGTGCGCACCGCCAGGTTCCAGCAGTCCCTGCGCCAGGGGTGGTGGGTGGGGTGGGCCCGGGTGGGAGGGGGCTGGGGAGGAGGGAGCGAGCGAGAGAACGAGGGAGCCGGGGAGCGCGGGCGGAATCCAGCCCCGAGCCGCCCGCGCTGCCGGCGCGCCCTCTCCGCCGCCCGCCCTCCCTCCCTCCCTCCCTCCCGGCCTCGCCCGCGCCCTCCTCCTCCTCCCAGGCACCTTCCCGCCGCCTCCGCCCCTCCCCCGCCCCCCGCGGCCTCCCCGGCCTCTCCCTCCTCCCGGTGACACACCGAGCTCTCCCTGCGCCGCACAAAAGAAACGCGTCTGGCCTGCACGTCCCGCGCGGCTGGTGCCCACCTCGGTCCCCAAAGGACTGGTTTCGCTCAGAACCCACTGCTGTCTGGGCCCCGAGGCCCCCAGCCCCCGGGCGAGAACGGCTCAGGACGAGGGACTGTTCCCCGAGCAGGAGCGCACCGAGCGGGCGCCTCGCAGGGGCAGAGCGCAGGGTCGGCCCGTCAGCTCCCAGCAGCGTCCTGGTCCAGGGGCCGCCGGCCCCTCCTTCCCAGGCCTCTTCTCCCGGGACCTGCGCCCGCCCGGCTGAGTGACAGCAGCCTGTGCTCTAATGGGCCCCCGGATGCTGCCTCCTAATTAGCTTGGACCCTCTCCCCCAAGGCTGCTTCGCGGGCCCCCGCCTCTGCACCGCAGTCAATTTTCCGGGATTGGGAGAGAACGGATGGCTTCTAATCAGACGAAACGTTTCTGTTGGCTCCAGTCCGCTGGCGAGGGAAGCAGGAGACCCCTGAGCCCCGCCAGGCCCCCGGCCTCTCCTAGAGGGCTCACTCCTCTCGTTTCGCACCTTTAACCATCCGGCCAAATCCACTGGGCGGGGAGGCCCTTGGCAGCCACAGGGTGGGTCTCTGCCCCCTTCAGGGCAGTTTGTAGCCACCTGGGGCCTCTGCTTGGGATTCCCAGAGCTGCAGGCACAGGCCTGGCAGGCCAGGTGACTGCAGTTTCCCAACGCGGGGCCTGCAGCCCAGGAAGCCTGCGGTGGAGCTTCCCTCCTGGGCACAGGCAAAGACGCTCCCCTCCACTCCCCACCCCTGGGAACGACCCCCTCCCTGAGTCCTCCTACTTCAGTTTGTTGAAGGATTTTGCTCAATAATTGTTAACTGGTCTGGAGTCCTCAGAGTCTTGAGTAAACAGGTGACAAGCTGGGGTGACAGGGTGGGGCCCTGACCTGTTTTTCTGGACGAAGCTGGACCCCAGGCTGCCCTCTGCTCCTTACCTGCCGAGGAGCAGTGCAGGACAGTGGCCTGGGGGAGAAACACTGCCCTACTTTCCAGGCCCGGAGCGCCCCCTCCCCCCCAGGGCCCCGCGCATCCTCATCTCCTCCTCTGCTTGGGACGGAACATGCAGCATGCAGGTTGTCCGTGTCTGGGGTGCTCTGCAAGAACTGCCCGAGTCCTCACCCTGACTCCCCATCAGAGTTGCCCCAGGCTGAGCTCCTTGGTGAGGATTGCAGGGGCAGGTGGAGTGTGGGACCGGGCCTGCCTCTCACCCCCTCAGCCTCACCCCAAGGAGGCTGAGGCCCTGGGGAGAAGGCATGGTTTCTTAGGGCCTGGTCCACGCTCTCTGGGTGCCCTTCAACACAGGGGAGGGCCTGAGGCTGAGGCCAGATGCAGTTGGGGTTGGGGAGTCTCAGATATTCCCGCCCTTTTCTTCCAAAGGGGATGTTTCTCTAAGTTGAGACTCCCAGGATGAAAACAGTCTTGAGGTGTGTGTGCAGGAGTGTGAGGGGGGGAATGGCCTAGGAGGGAGACATGGTGAGAGATGGTTGCTCAGCATTTGCTGCATTTGCCATCAGCCCCATCTTTTATCACAGTTCTTGGCTGAGTCTCCTTTGGAGGAGGTGCCCAGATGCTATAGCATGCCAGAAGTGCCCCCTCACCTGCACCTTGTAGTTGCTTTTACCCTGACAGGACGACGTGCCACCCTGCATGCCTGGGTACATACATACTGCATACTCACACAGGTGTGCTGTGTACACACAGACACACATACTCCCTCATCCACACACAGGAGTCACATATGTGTCCACACAGCCAGGCCTCTGCTCCCAGATCGCTGCTGACATTTGGCACAAAATCTCACTGGCAGGGGAAAGGAGGGGTGTTCTAAGCGTGCCCAGCATCAGGCCAAGGGGCCAGGCACAGTGCCTTTCTGGGTGGGAACAAGGAATAAATGTTCTGCGATGGTTACCCAGGCTGAGGGTCACAATCGTCCCGCTTCCCAGAGGGCAGAAGAGTCAGGCCTTCCATGAATAAGAACTGTGTTGTGACTCTGCAGCTTTAGCTACTGAGTCTGAAGGGCTTGCCTCTCTCCGCTGATGGATTTAATGTAATTATTGTTCACCTGTAGTGACTGTGTCCCTCTGGACCCAAGCCTCTGGCAGAGCTCTAGGCAGTCACAATACTCCCTATATTTGGAAATATTAATGCCTGCTTTGCGGATGGAAAGGCCCTCAGACTATTGTAGGCCTTTATCTACATATCTACCTAGGGCTCTGAGCCCCAGAGAGGGGCTGCGCCGCTGGTCCCAGGCAGCGCTGACTAAGGAGGGGCCCCTGGCCGGATCCTGGGTGTTGACTGGAGAAGGGACCTGGGCGCGCACGCTCTTTTTCTCGGGCCACACCCTCTCCTGGACACCGTCCCAGGCAGGCTAGGGGCTTCCTGCGCTCTCACAGGTATCTCACAGGCGAAACAGGCCGGGAGGCAGGTCTCTTCCCGGAGGAAGTGTAGTGGCCCCGTGGCCTGGCTTTGCTGTGTGTCTTGGATAAGGTCTGACCTGCATGTACCTCAGGCCTTCGTTCCCATGTCTGACATGGGACAGAGCACCGCCTGCTGCTGCTTCAGCCTTCAGCCCACTTGACAATGAAGCACGAGAAAAGGAAGGACGGGGCTCAGTGGAGTAGGAACCATGCGCCCTGTTCTTCCTCCCTCCGGGCCACACCGAGCTGGCAGTGATTTTGAGACTTTGGGTGACTTTCAGGGGCTGAGCAGAGAGCAGTCTGGGCTGCTGTGGGGGGTGAAGTAGTCCCTCTGAGGGCTCTGCCTGAGGCTGGACTCAAAACAGACTCTGCATCCACCAATGGTTTCGCTATTTTATTTGGGAAGGGTGGTTGGAGGGTCCTCATGGAGGGCATCCTTCCACCTACTTAGCGGGGGCAGGGATACCCTGCTACCCTGCCCTAATCTTCAAATAAGAATCAAGAGATTTTAGGAAAAGGGAAGGAATGTGCCATGGCTTGCCCCCAGGGCCATCCATGACTCTCTGGGACATTCCAGCCCTAAGCCTCTTAGGCCCGTGGAGAAGTTCAAACTAGAAAACCCAGTTTGGGTAGTGCAGCCCGGACCACCTACTGCCTTCCGCCGGGTCTAAGACCCCCTCCCCAATAAAAGCTTTTATTTCTTTGAATGCAAGTAATTACTGGGTGAGGGGAGAAGAGGTACTCAGGTAGGCAATGGGGACAATCTCACTGGATTCTTTAGGCTTCAGAGGACCGACCACAGCCTGAAGCTTCCTGTCAGTCGGGGCTCTCCAGCCTGCCCGGTGGGGAGAGAGCTGGGTGGATTGGGGCAGGATGGCTGGGTGGGGTGGCTGATGGGACCATGGAACTCGGAACACTCTGGCAGCAGCTGGTAAGAGCCCATGGGTCTCCCTGCTCACCCCAGTGCGCTGCTTGCTACCTGATTCCCAAGAGCCTCGGAGCCAAGCGGAAGAGAAGGCTGGGAAACTGGCAGTGGCCGGTCACACAGCTGGGGTCAGCTTTTGCAGTATCCTCTCCCCAGCAGCCAATTTGCCCAGAGAAGGGCACCCCGAGCGTGGCTCGAAGGTCAGCAAACGCTGCCTCTATGTCCTAGAGTCCAGGCAGCCTGGTCGCCATGTCTTAGTCCACTTCTTTTCCTCTTCCCAGTAGCGATCCGGAGTCCCAAAGCAGTCCGAAGGAAGGGCAGGAGGCCAGCAAGTCCCTCCTGAGCCGCCGGCCTGCCGCTGCCCGAAGCTCTTGCCATTCCTGGGAGACCCTGCCCTCCACGGAGTGGACAGCAGCCTGAGGTTGCTTTACTCTGACTCTGGTGGCTGGCAGGCCCCTGGGATGCCAAGCGAACGCGGAGCCTAAGCTCCTTAGGAAAGTGAACTGAAATCTTTTTGAATTCAGGGAATCTCTAAATTGGAAAACCTCGGAGCCAGGATTTGGGCCTGGGGTTCCGATCTCTGCGATGCCGACCTCGGTGCTCTGGCTCTCCCGCCGCTGAATCCGCCGGGATTCAGGAGGCCGGCCCGGTTCAGACCTCCAGACCCGCGTCTAGAGAAGCGCCCTGTGGTCGGGAACCCCGCGTCTACAGCGGCACCCGAGGGAGCCGCGGGGAGGTCTCTTTTGGAGTGTGCGATGAGCTTTTGGGGTTTCTCTTAGGGTACGGAAAGCCCGGCCCGCGCCAGGGAGGCGGCCGCGGCGCCCGGTGCGCCCCGCGCTGCGGGGCCGTGGGTCCTCGGCGGGCGCCCCGCGCCCAGGCTGCGGCCGGGCCCACGGCGGCGGCTGTTCTGTGGCGCGGCCGTCCCAACGAACACGCGTACGAACGAAGCGGTTTCGTTTAGGGAAAATACCCTCTTGACGCGAAGCTAAGGCCGGAGTCCCCTGGAGTGCCGAGGGGCCCTCGCTCCGGCCAGTGCCGCGCCCCCATCCCCGCGAGCGGCAGGAGCGGCGGGCGGCCCCTCGCCGCCTTCCCCGCGGAGGTCCCCGAGGCCGCGCCGCGAGGGGCGCGCTCAGGCTCTGCCCGGCGCAGGGCTGGGGCCCGCGCCTTCGAACCCGCTGCCTCTTGGGGTGCCGCGGCCGAGGCGGGGGCAGGCCCACCCGCTAGGGGAGGCGACACGGGCGCAGGAAGGGGATCCTCGGCTGCCTCGATGGCGCCCGGCGTTCCGCGCGGCGCGCCCCGTCCCTCGCCCCGGGCAGGACGCCTCGAGGGCAAACGGCGCTGA